GACCCCATACCACCCCTGCCTCTTGCCCTCCCATCAGACTTCGAACGGCCACTAGGCAATCTGTCATTTTTTCCTTCTGCCATAAAATGCCCGGTTTTAAGGACACAGATGCAATTTGAGGCTGGATCCTGTGGACTTGTTCTAACAGCAGTGCTCTCTGCAGGCACACAGGTAAGGAGGGGGGGCTCCTTCTGTGAGAGGCAGGCATGCCGTGAAAGGAACGAAATTGGGGCTTCAAAAGGGAATTAGATAAGCATATGTAGCAGAGGTCCATCGGTGGCTATTAGCCACAAGGTATAGATAGGGACTCTGGGGCAAGTGATGCTCTGTCATCTTGGTGCTTGGGGGGGAGGGGTCAACAGTGGGAGGGCTTCTAATGTCCTGGCCCCACTGGTGGACTTCCTGATGGCACTGGTATTTCTGGCCACTGTGTGATACAGAGTGTTGGAGTGGATAGGCCTTTGGCCTGATCCAACATTGGTGTCTCCTATCTTCTTATGGATAAACCTATGGAGCAGAGGTCCATCAGTAGCTATTAGCCACAAGGTATAGATAGGGGCTCTGGGGCAAGTGATGCTCTGTCTTCTTGGTGCCTGGGGGGGGCGCAACAGCGGGAGGGCTTCTGGAGGAGGAGGAGGAAGAGGAGGAAGAAGAGAAGGAGGAGGGGGGAGATTGGATTCAAACCCCGCCCTTCACTTGGAGTCTCAGAGCGGCTGACAAACTCCTTTCCCTTCCCCTCCCCACAACAGACCCCCTGTGAGGTCGGTGGGGCTGAGAGAGCTCTTGACAGAAACGGCTCTTTTTCAAGGACAGCTCTGACAGAACTATGGCTTGCCCAAGGTCACACCAGCAGCTGCAAGTGGAAGAATGGGGAATCAAACCCGGTTCTCCCAGATTAGAGTCCACGCACTTAACCACGACACCAAACTGGCTCTGGACACCTGCGGTCTCAAACTGGGGGGGGGTCTGTTTTGTTCTGTCTGGCTCTCCCCCCCCCCCAACCCTAATGATCCTATGGAAATTTCGCACACCGGAGCCCAACCGAGATGGCCTGCGGCATACCAACGTTTGGCCGGGTCCTCGCCTGCCCCCCTTGCTTCTTCTCCTGGGTGGAGGCGGTTGAGGTTTTCATGCTGAACATGGGCTCCAGGCGGGTGGAGCCCCGGTAGATCCACTCGCAGCGTTTGTCGTCCTGGCGGGCAGAAAGGAGGACAAGGCTATGGCCGCGGACAGGTGGGAGAAGCGAGACGTGGGGTGCTGTAAACTAATTCCTGCCCTGAGCAAAGGGGTTGGAGTGGGTGACCTCTGGGATCCCTTCGAACTCTGTGTCAAGAAACTGGTCTCCTGTAAGAGAGGGGCTTTTTTTGCCTAAGTGTTAGCTTTCTTGACTATAGAAGTCATCACCCCTACCTGCCGGATCGTTATCTGAATGGTTACTTAGGCTGGTGAAGCGATTAACTTTCAGCAGCTGTAAGGTAAAGGTAAAGGTTCCCTTGCTCGAAAGTCAGGCGAATCCGACTCTAGGGTTGCGGTGCTCATCTCCGTTTCAAAGCCGAAGAGCCAGCGCTGTCCGAAGACATTTCCGTGGTCATGTGGCCAGCATGACTAAATACCAAGGTGCACGGAATGCTGTTACCTTTTCACTGAAGTGGTACCTATTTATCTACTTGTAATTTCTTGCTTTCGAACTGCTAAGTTGGCAGGAGCTGGAACTAGAGATGGGAGCTCACTCCATCATGCGGCACCCGGGTCTCGAACTGCTGAACTACTGACCTTCCACAGCCTGCAGTTCAGCGTCTTAACCACTTGAGCCACCGCAGCTGTAAACTGTCATCTAAAGTGGTTGACAGCTTGCAATTTAGAGATCATAGAATGTTAGAGTTGGAAGGGATCTTGCGGGTCATCTAGTCTAACCCCCTACACTCTGCAGGAGCATAGCCGAAAGATAGCCCTACAACATACCCAAAAGATGGTCGTCCAGCCTCCGCTTGGAAACATCCAGCGAAGGAGCATCCACCACCTCCCGAGGCAGACTGTTCCACTGCTCAACCACTCTGACAGTTAGGAAGTTTCTCCTGATATTTAGCCAGTAAGGACTCCCTTGTAATTCCCACCCATTAGACCTAGTCTTGCAATCCGGAGCAAGAGAGAATAGATCTGCTCCATCTTCTGCAAGACAGCCCTTCAGATACTTGAAGACTGCAATCGTGTCCTCTCTAAGCCTTCTCTTTCCCAGGCTAAACCCGCCGCGTCAAAAGCGACCGGAATCTGGCCACGAGAAGAGCCACACAAGAGGGAACCAATGTTCCCTCTAAGCTGTGGAGTCTTATGAGCAGAAATTCTACTTTGTGAGCTACCTGCATTAAAGCTCTGAGCGAGTGACTTGGCTACTGCATAAATTAGCTTGCTCTGGAGCCATCCCTTCCTGAGCTAAGGCAAAAATGTGTGAGTTGGAAGCTAAAAAACTATGAGCTAGCTCACACCAACTCAGCTTAGAGGGAACCCTGGAGGGAACCCTACCAGGAAGAGGATCTTGACCAGGCTCCCGTCCACTTCCTCCACGCGCGACTTCCACCAAGTGCCGTCCCACTCCGTTTTGATGAGCTGGCCGGTCTTGAGCAGGACCATGGGTCGGTTCGGGTAGGCCGTGATGTACTCTTCGATGAAATCCCGGCAGGAGATGTCTTCGATGTCCTCCCAGGTCTTTTTGACTGCCCGGAAGAGAAAGGCGTGATCAAATGGTTTCTGTTAGCAGTTATTGCTGGACCGTGCGCTGTCTGACGCCTGGCAGATTTCTAGAGCCTTAAGAAGCGGGAGGCCCCAGATCTCCAGAATCATCCCTAGCACTGCCTTGTGGTATTCCAGGCCCCTGCGGGACCCTCGTACATTTCCGCAGGGCCTGCAAGACGGAGCTCTTCCGCCAGACTTTTGAATAGGAGCCGCCACCCCCACTGTTCCACCAACGCCCTATAATTCCCGCACACTGTCATCACTGGTGCGGGCTCCATCGGAGGGAGTGGGACATGCCTAGGGACAACAGGGGGGTACGGTTAGCCAACTATATCATGGAGAACACCATCTTGATTGTAACAATTTGGATATGAGTAGAGAGCACCGGAAAGTGTTTTAAGAACTTTTGTTAATTATTTAATAGCTTATTTTGTAATTTTAGTCAGAATTTTACTGATTTATTGTTATTATCTGGCATTATGCCCCTGTTAGCCGCCGGGAGCCTGCGGGGAGGGCGGGATAGAAATCCAAATAAATAAATAAATAAATAATTGTGGTATTCCGGGCCCCAAGGATGCAAGGCTCACCAGTACCAGGGCCGGGGCCTTTTCTGTGGCGGCTCCTTACTGGGAGTCAGGCCGATTGGCCCACAGGGGGAGGGGGGTGCTTTTGAATACCCTATAGCTCTCTCAGCTTTCTATGATGAAGTTATTCCTAACAGTGACTGTGTCTATGCTACCATACTGCTAAAAATAAAGTAAAACCTTCGAAGAAGTGTGTGCTCTGCTGTTTGACTGTGGGTCCTGACAATCAGTGGCTATTAGCCACAAGGGATAGACAGGGGCAAGGGATGCTCTGTCTTCTTGGTGCTTGGAGGGGGGGGCAGCAGTAGGAGGGCTTCTGGAAGTCTGGCCCCACTGCTGGACCTCCTGAGGGCATCTGGTGTTTTTGGCCACTGTGTGACAGACAGAGTGTTGGACTGGATGGGCCTTTGGCCTGATCCGACATTGGCTTCTCTGTTATGTTATTATAGGGCAAGAGATGCTCTGTCTTCTTGGTGCTGGGGGGGGGGGGGGGGGGGGGCGGGAAGGGCTCCTAGTGTCCTGGCCCCACTGCTGGACCTCCTGAGGGCATCTGGTGTTTTTGGCCACTGTGTGACACAGCGTGTTGGACCGGATGGGCCACTGGCCTGATCCAACATGGCTCCTCTTATGTTCTTATGTCTGTGGCAGTGATGCTCTGTATCCTTGGTGCTTACGGGGGGGGAACAGTGGGAGGGCATCTAGTGTTCTGGCCCCACTGGTGGACCTCCTGATGGCGCCTGGTATTTCTGGCCACTGTGTGACACAGAGTGTTGGACTGGATGAGCCACTGGCCTGATCCGACATTGGCTTCTCTTATGTTCTCAACCCGTCCATCAGTGGGCCACAATGACTAACTGGACCATCCATATTCAAAGGCAGTAACTGAATTCCAGTGCTTGACCGGGGGGGGGGGGGGCGCGGACGGACAAGGGAATGGCCTTGGGCCCCGTGCCCTGCTTGTGACGTCAGGGACTATCTGGTTGGCCGCTCTGGGAAACAGGACGCTGGGCTGCAGGCTTGTAGCTACAGTGGGGCATTTCGGGACGACGCCCCCTCACTCACTGGCAAGGCCCCACAACTTCCCATCTGGCCTGGGGCCATGAGCGATGGCAGGTGTGGGGAAGGAGCCAGGTGTTCCTTCAATTCGATCATCCAGTGCCCCCTAAGAAATTTCAATCCCCCCCCCCCGACTTAAAAAATCTTCGCTAGTCCCGTTCTCGTGTGCGCTTTGCAAAGAGCCGCCGTGACTCCCTGTCCCGCGTGCTTTTGAGGAGCCAGGGCTGAAGAGGACTCCGAGGAGACGCTGGGCAGAGCGGGAAGACTCACGTGGCCGGCAGATCAGGTACAGCTCGGGCTGGACGACGTACGAGGCGTAACCGTCATCGAAGAAGATCAGGAACCTGGAGGGAGAGAATACGGTCAGGCTGACCCTCGGTCGCCGCTTTCAGAGGGAGAAATTAAAGGGGCATCACGCAGGGGAGGAGGCAGCAGCTGGAAGGTGAGTCCGTATTCGTTAAAGGTCCACGTAAGACGGAAGATAAACTGGGGGAAGGAGCAGTCCTTATCCACCCCCCCACTGGAAACATCAGAAGAGCCCTGCTGGATCGGACCAGGGAGGGTCCATCTCGTCCGGCATCCTGTCTCACCCAGTTCCTATGGACGGCCAACAACAGGGCAGAGAGGCCGAGGCCTTGCCCTGAGTAGAACATCAGAAGAGCCCTGCTGGATCAGACCAGTGAGGGCCCATCTAGTCCAGCCTCCCGTCTTACACAGGGGCCAACCGGTTCCTCTGGAGAGCCAACAACAGAGCAGAGAGGCCGAGGCCTTCCCCTGAGAAGAACATTGGAAGAGCCCTGCTCGGTCAGACCAGTGAGGGTCCATCCAGTCCAGCATCCTGTCTCACACCGCGGCAAACCAGTTCCCCTGGAGGGCCAACAACAGGGTATGGAGGCCTTCCCCTGATAAGAACCTCAGAAGAGCCCTGCTGGATCAGACCAGTGAGGGTCCATCTAGTCCAGCCTCCTGTCTCACACAGGGGCCAGCCAGTTCCTCTGGAGGGCCAACAACAGGGCACAGAGGCCGAGGCCTTCCCCTAATGTTGCGTCCTGTTTTTCTGGGATTCAGAGGTTGACTGTCTCTGAAGAAGAAGGAGGAGGGGGAGATTGGATTCCTCCGTAATTTACAGACATTCAACATTGTGTCCTTTCGGTATATTACCCCGGAGCAAATAGCCCCTATTATAGGTTCTAACCCCACCTGCTGGAGACGATGTAAGGAAAAAGGAACTTACCTACATTGCTGGATGTTTTGCCCCAAAGTTTTAATTTGGGGGGGGGGGAGTTCTAGATCAAGTTAAAAATATTACAGGAGTAAGCATTCCCTGCAAGACGGAGCTCTTCCGCCAGGCTTTCGCGTAGGAGGCGCCACTACCACCACCACCAACGAACTTGGAGACAGCGGGGTATTGGAATGGCCTGTGACGATCAAACTGCGGCACTATGGCGTGCGGACACCACTGAGTTAAAGATCTGACTAAGTATCCTCCGGATACCATCTCTAAATGGAAGATCATCCTTTTTAACCATCTTGAAGCACTTTATTATTTTATATATTGTAATTGCGGTGGCTCAAGTGGTTAAGACGCTGAACTGCAGGCTGTGGAACGTCAGTAGTTCAGCAGTTTGAGACCCGGGTGCCGCATAATGGAGTGAGCGTCTCTGGATCCAGCTCCTGCCAACCTAGCAGTTCGAAAGCAAGAAATGGCAAGTAGATAAATAGGCACCACTTCGGTGGGAAGGTAACAGCGTTCCGTGCACCTTGGTGTTTAGTCATGCCGGCCACATGACCACGGAAACGTCTTCGGACAGCGCTGGCTCTTCGGCTTTGAAATGGAGATGAGCACCGCAACCCTAGAGTTGGACTCGACTGGCTTTCGAGCAAGGGAACCTTTACCTTTTTATCTTGTTTTATATATCGGCGTGTGTGCCTTGTGGTTAGCTGCCCTGAGCCCGCCTGGCGGGGAGGGCGGCCTATAAATTGAATGATAAATAAAATAAATAAATAAAATAAATTCACACCTGAAATGATATTGCTAAATGACAGGGAAGAACTTAATACACATTGTATAAACAAAACATGTATAGCTTTACTTTTGTATGCAGCAAACGCTGTGGTTGTTACGTACTGGAAATCTGAAAGATCACCATCGCTAAATATATGGCATAGTAAACTGTGGTATTTATTCTTAATGGAGAAGATTACACGGTCTGTAAAATTCAATGGCACAAAAAAGAGCAAATTGTTATATACAATTTGGTTTCCTATTCTGGAATACTTGCAACAACAAGGAGAAATTCCAAATGTTATGGATAAACTTCAAATTGTTTAAGAAATTATTTGTTATAAAGAAAACGACACCTTCTTATAGTTAATATTTTTTAACGTTAACGTTCTGGGATATTGTTTTAATGTTTAATGTTTTGATATTTTATATTATTTTGTATTTTGTTGTATTAACAAAACAAAATTAAAATAGATTTGGAGGAAGAAGGAGATTGGATTTATACCCCGCCCTTCACTACCTGTTGTCATCCCTCCAGAGGAACTGGTTGGCCGCTGTTTGAGACAGGATGCTGGACCACTAGCCTGATCTAGCAGGGCTCTTCCTGTATTCTTGTAACAGAGAATGCAGAACACAACCATTCCCAGATAATGGGAAAATACCCCTTTCATGATCTGTGTAGGACTCTGGAGATCTGTGCATGGCTGGGAGAAAAGCCTGAGGCCCAGGGCCCAGGAGAGGCCTGTGTGGTAGTAGAAAGCAAGCGGCCTACAATTCCCACAATGCCTAGAACCCGCTGCAACCCATGGGGATACTGGAAGTCTCTGAGGAGAGGTGTTTTTATACATGGTGGGCAGTTTAACTGACCTTCTTTTCTCTGTGGTCTTGCCTCACACAGGAGTGAACTGAGGAGACTGGTCTGGGGAAAAGATCCCTCACTGGGAGATTGTTGTCCCCACAACAGACAAGCCTGGTTTATATAGAGTCAAAAACTAGACAGGCTTTCTATTAAATATTATACCAGAAACGGGGGGGAAAGAAAGAAAAAATCTGCTCCTTCATTGTATAACGGCCGCTAGAATATGTTACGCTAAATATTGGAAATCTGAGAAGTCTCCGGATAAGATAGAAGTGTTGCAAAAATGGTTCGAAGTCGCAGAAATGGATAAACTATCAAACATGCTAGACGGGAAAGATGAAGATACAGTTAATAAAAAATGGAAAAGACTATTAGAATGGAATATTCAACAAAATGGTTAAGAGGAAATAGGACAACTTTAAGAGGAAGACTCAAGGCTGTTTGCTCGTCTGTGTTAATATCGATTAATATGAGATGTTATGTTTTGTTTGGTGTGGGTGTTTGGGAAAATCAATAAAAAAATATATATATATATTTTTTTAAAAGGGTTATTGCTGTGAGGATAAAATGGAGGAGAGGAGAATGGGGGGAGACTCCCTCTGCCCCCGCTGGGAACAAATGCGGGTATAAATGAGGTATAAATATTTAAAAAAAAAAAAAAACTAGACAGGCTTTGTTGTAATTACAATAGGAAAAATAGGGCACACCAAAGAAAATTACTCTTCTATATCTTTAACACTGAAAGATTGAAGGCCAAAGAAGACGGGGACGGCAAAGGATGAGATGGTTAGACAGTGTCATAGATGCAACGAACATGAAATTGAGCCAACTTCAGAGGACAGCGGAAGATAGGAAGGCCTGGCGGGATTTGGTCCATGGGGTCGCGAAGAGTCAGACTCGACTGTGCGACTGAACAACAAAATATCTTTAATACATTTTGTTGTATTACTATAACAAATTTCCTGTATTAACTAGCATTCATTCATTATATATGAAGTACATTTCATGAACATAAGCAAAGCCAGTAAATGATAACATGAGTATGATACAAAACAATACAAAATCTTGATGCAGTTATTCTTGACGTTGCTTTGGCTGAGCCCCTGGAATGTTTACTCCTTGAGACGTCCCGACGGAGCTGTAAAGTGTGCAAAGCAAACTGAGAAGTCCTCGTTATACGAGTTCCCGAACAGTATTCCTGCTTGTCCACGGCAAGAGATTGGTAGATAGGGTTGAAAAAGATATACGAAACGGCTGTTGAATCCTAGGAAAGCGTGTTCTCTTTCTCTCTTACATTCCTTGGAACGACATGTTTTCAAATGAAGGAGTGATCAACATTGTTCGGGAACTCATATAACAAGGACTTCTCAGTTCGCTTTGCACACTTTACAGCTCCGTCGGGACGTCTCAAAGAGTAAACATTCCAGGAGCTCAGCCAAAGCAACGTCAAGAATAACTACATCAAAATTTTGTATTGTTTCGTATTGTACTCATGTTATCATTTACTGGCTTTGCTTATGTTCATGAAATGTGCTTCATATATAATGAATGAATGCTAGTTAATACAGGAAATTTGTTATAATAATGCAACTAAGTGTGTTAAAGATCTAGGCCCCGGTCACACGGGCTGGATAACGCGGGGGGGAGGCGTGGCTATTTGCAGCGCCGCAATTTAACGCACCAGAATGTGATCCCACACATCGGCGGCATGCCACGGTTCCTTCCCTCCGCGTCTGCGCGTCAACGAGGGGCCGGAGGGGAAAGCGGCACGCTGGTGCGACACCGAGGGAGTCCGGAGGCAGCCCGTGGCAAACCAGTTGCGAGTACCTTCGACCAGGTATTTTTTTTTAATTGCGCATTTTCGGCGGTACGCCACCGGTTGGCCACGGGTGCGCTCCACTTGCCAGATGTTGCAGTGTGATCACGCCTGGAAACTCCGCCATTCAATCGTGGCTGTCCCGCAGCAAATTCGCCGTGTGAATGGGGCCATAGAAGAGTAATTTTCTTTGGTGTGCCCTGTTTTTCCGATGGTTTATATAGAGGGCTGTAGGCCTGAAGTGGTAACAGTTAAAGTGAAGTAGGTGTGTTAGGTTTTATTATTTTTCCTTTTAAGCACTCTTATACCTTTAAAGCAGCTTGTCTTGTCTTGTTTTGCCTTGCCCCAGTACTGAAATAATAAACCCTTTTTGGTCCACTGTTCCTCTGCCCCGTCGTCACACTTCTGTGTCTCGGCTACAAAAGGGGGGCAATTTGAAGGGGCTTGGGAAGGTACCCTGGGCCTTCTCAAGGGACCCTAAGTCCAGGGTGGCGGTGGCGGAAGGCGGCGACCCGCTGGGGTCATGACTAGAGATGTGAAGGCCCAGAAAAAAAACGGAAAAATTCGGGGGGGAAACGTTTTTTCCCCTTTTTTTCCCCTGAAGCCTAATTTTTTTCCGAAAAATTGGAAAAATTGAAAAACAGAAAAGAAAAGAAAATGATTATGGAACATTTTTTTTTAACGATGAATAAAATATTTTAAGACAAGGTGTTCAAATAATTTTCCAAATCATTTCTTAAAAATATGTATGGGGTCAGATTGATCTAATTTCTGTGCACTGAGGACAAAGCAAGTCCTAGGTTACAAACTGAACTCTCCAATGCAAGAACAAGATGCATTTCTTCCTTTAGGAGGTGCTACTGTCACAAGAAAAGAAAAAAGGTTTCCGTTTTGTTTTTGCATGTGGGTGGGTATTCTGTTTGTAATCATTGTCTGGACACACTCTATTTTTAATAGGCCTAGTTGTGATCATTTCATGCCAAGTAAAAATGGTCCATAGTCATATTTCATGTTCCTAAAGTAACAGAATGACTTTTAATCTGGAAAAGAAAAAAGAAGTGCTAATGTAGCATTTTTTCCAAATTTCCCCCAAAATTTCCATTTCCCCCCCCAGAAAAAAACGGGTGTTTTTTTTTCCAAGCTTCAAAAGTTCCGGAAATTTTACATCTCTAGTCATGACAACCCTCCATAGACCTTTAAGGCCAGAGTTTAACATACGCTAAGCATGTGGGAGCGAGAAGCTTCGGGACGTGGCTCGCCCCCCTGGTCGAAAGCCCCCAGGAACAGCCCTGTCAAGTCAGCCTTGAGTTTCCTAGCCAAGAAGCTCTGCTCTCCCCGGGCGCCGTGTTACCCGGGGCTCCCGGCCGCCCACTGCCGCCTGAGCGGAATGTTGTCCTGACCCAGCCAGGCTTTGAGGGCGATGGCCGCCCCTGACCTCATCTTGTTCTTGATGTTTGGCGTCTCGGCCACGATCCCGGCGTACAGCCACATCTGGTTCACGTCCTTGTACTTGGCCACCACCCGGCTCCCAACTTGCAGGTTCTCGGACGACGGGTGATAGTCGTAGGCGATGTGGTTGCCCGACAGCAGGCTCTTCCCTTTGTTGTCGAACTTCACTTTGTACTTCTTGCCGACCCCTGTGGGAGACGGCCGAGAGGGAGGAGAAGAAGAAGAAGAGATTGGATCTATACCCCGCCCATCACTACCCAAAAGAGTCTCAGAGCGGCTTGCAAAACCCTTTCCCTTCCCCTCCCTACAACAGATACCCTGTGAGGTCGGTGGGCCTGAGAGAGCTCTTTCAGGAACTGCTCTTTCGGGGACAGCTCTGAGAGAACTTGTGACTGACCCAAGGTCATCCAGCCAGGTGCGATTGGAGGAGTGGGGAATCAAACCCGGTTCTCCCAGATTAGAGTCCGCACACTTAACCACGACACCAAACTGGCTCTTGACATCAGGGGAAGGCCCCAGCCTCTCTGCCCTGTTTTGGGGGGTTTTTTAAACCCCCGGAGGGGTATTTTTATTTTTTTCAATAAGACTACAAACTATAAAGAAAAATATAGGAGGGGAAACTACAACTATGGAGAAAGGAAAGATACCCACACTAACTAAAAACCCAAGAGTGGGAGACCCCCTTCATGTTAAGCTAAATATTAGTATTAAAAGTGTTAGTAAAACAATATACTTGTAGAGTTCTTGTTTTTCACATTTTCTGTATTAGTAAATTAGTCATTTTGAGAGAACTTTCTGAGCATCTTTTCTTCAAAGAGCCATTTATCACAGTCCTTCTGCCCTGACTTCGGCTTTCTGTCTCTAAAATCATATACAGTTTTCATTGCTCCAGCACCCGCTTCTGAGCCTCTCTGCCCTGTTGTTGGCCCTCCAGAGGAACGGGGAGGGCGGCAATCAGCCGCTATCTCTGCACGGGATGGGCCAGCCGTACAAGATGCCGTTGGGCGGGATGGGTGGACCTCTTCCGCGTACAGCGGTGCCGTCCCCCGAGCGAAAGGAGCCCCCCCCTTGCAGTGGGGAAAGGGGTCGTTGCTGGTGAAACGGATCCAGGGTATCCATTCAAGTGAAGACACCTCTCCACTGGGAAGGCTCAGTGCTTTACCATGGTTCTATCCCCAAGGGGCCGGGGGGGGGGGGATCTTTCCAAACCGGGCTTCTGTCATGATAT